GTCGTCTCGTCCTTCGTCAGGATAGCGTTGCCGCGGTTTCCTCTCTCCCTCTCTCTTCCCCATTTTTGTCCCGACAAAAGTCGGAGGCACAAAAGTGACACCAAGCTACGGCGATGCGCGCGTTGCAAGCCGAGATCGACTTCATTAGTCGCGACGACAATGTAGCGCCAACCAGTTACCTTTTCGATAAAAAAGCAACGCTTCGCGATATCCCAGCGAGAGACAACGAAAGAGAGGAGGGGGCATAGTTTTGGTAGCAGCTGATACACTGCGGAACCCATTGAGAGCTTGTATGCAGCAATTTCAATTAGCTTCGTCGTCTCCCACTCGATTTTTCGCGATAACAAAACAAACTCGCGAAATATAAGAATAACACTGGAAACCATGTCCTAATAAGGATTGTGTCTCTGTTCTTTCGTTTGGAGTGCAACGATAACAATAGAGAGAGAGAGAGAGAAATATCGATTTTGCCTCGCACTTCTCGGCTCGAGGGACTAATTGATCCGGCAATCTTTAATGGGCACTCGCACGCATTTGAATTTGAACATTTAATTGCGCCATAATGCGACTGAATTCGCCTCGTCCCAAGCTACGCCAAGATGCAGTCAACCGAATTGGATTAACTCGCGAGCTCCAGCGAATAATGTAATTTACCCAGCTGTCCTGGACGGTCTCTGTTTCTTCTCTTCTCTCGTTTGACAACGAAAGAAAACAAGCGACGTTTTTGGGTCCATTTTTTTCGAGTCAATGCTCACTTTCGCCGAATCCACGAACAAGATCTCAGCCTCTCAAACGCTGTGTGTTTTCACTTTGGCACTCCATTAATGCTCAGCTCACTGTAGAGTCGCGTTTGCGGAATTACGTAGACGATGGAAATTGGACTGGTCGCTATTAACGAAGGCCACGCGAAAGATGCTTCAATTGTCTCGGCTTGTAATCGTAAACGAGCCTCCGCGAATGAAATGAGATTGGTCGGTTATTAATTTGGCTTCCCGTCGCGTGGGCCACTGATATCTGTCCGAGCGTCGCAAATAGCAGATCATATCGAATAGCGGGCCGAGGTACGAGCGCTCGTAAAAAAAGCAAACGTGTCCGCGAAGAAAGTCTGACCGGTGCCACGGTAACTCTTGCTATCGCTGTTTTCAAGTTTTATCTCGCTCAAGCCCGAGATCGCACATCTGCTCGAAGATGAATTTTTCCGGGCGCTTAACCCCGCATCCCAATCAATCAGGTGCTCGAGCGCGGCGTGGTCGTTTGGCGGATGTACACGAGTGAGCAAATAACGAACGAGGCCATTTGCGAAGTCGACTCCCTCCTCGAAGAAAAAAACAACAACGACGGCGGCGGCAGCAGCAGCAGCAGCAGCAGCAGCAGCGGCAACAACAACGTCGACGACGACGACGACTATTTTTCATCGGTTGCGTGGGCGCAGGCGAAAGAGCCAATATAAATCGGAGCTACGAGTGCGGAAAAGCCAGGCAGCTGATAAAGAGCCCACAGTGCGCCTATAGTGGTGCGACCGTGTGCCTTCCTACTAAGTAGCTCGCGCCTGTGCGATGCGCCTCGCCCTCCTCGCCAAGGACGCAACGTCAGCCCTTTACGCGCCGAAGTACAAATGGGTAAACCCAGTAGCGTATTCCTCGATAGCGTAACGAGCTGTTTTTCTCACTGCCGACGGCGACACCGAAAAAAACTGCCTCGACCGCGCGCGCGCTCGTGCTTTTCAATTCAAGCATCGCCACCTACTCTGCGAATTATTACGACGCGCTTGCGGGCTCGCGAGACTGAATTACGTATGCCGCTTCAACCGTGTGTGTGTGGCTCCCCCCCCCCCCCCCCCCCATGGCGGACTCGTTATTTTTCACGCTAAACGCGAATCGCCTGTATAATTGACTTACTCTCGGGATTGTTAATCGAGTTTCGTGCAAATTAATTTTGGAACGCGCCGAGAACGAGTTCGAGCTGGGATTTTACGACTGCTGCTGTGGACGCGCGTACTCGGAATTGATTATTAGATAACTTTGGACCGATGACGGCGACACGAGTACTCGAAATTCACGTGATGTGGCAACGAGCACCGCAAAAACTTTTAGGGCCTCGACGTCGTGCATCGCTCTATCAACTGTATGAATTTTTCAATGAATCTCCTGAAGTTTTAACGCCTGGTTCACGTCGATTACGCAGACACTTATTGACTTATCGTCGTAGCCAGCGGCAGCACAATAAGTTCCGAATAATCCAACTGCAGCATAAAGTGCATATCGTAACAATTAGATGCGTTCCGTGTGGAGAATGCGCAGGCAAACGTTGCGTGCTAAAAGTCAAACGAGCAAACTTGGCAGCCACCGTGGACTGCCAAGTTTTCGCGCCAACATTTTCGGCATTAACTGCAATCGCAATTATTTAGCCAAAACATTTACGTGCGTCGTCCCTTCCCTCCGAGTTTCGACAAAGTTTTAATGGGGAACTCGAGGGTAAAATAGAATCAATCCGTGGCAGCCGTAACTCGGTGCAAAGGTAAACTCAATAAGCCGAGCACTGATCGGTTCGTTAAAAACTAACGGTCGACCTGCCGCAGCGCGCCTTATACGTATACGTATGGAAATTCTGATATAGCTGGCCGAAAATTGAATAAGCCTCGCTGGGCTGCCCTGATTTTCGCGCAGATGCATCATTGGCAGTCGGGAGGAGAAGTTGCGCCCAGCCCAGCCAGTTTCCAGGTTCATTTGTAGTCGGCCCGGCTAATAACGCGGGTGGTTCGGCACCTAACTTTCAAAGTTGCCAGCCGCGAATAGCCTTGTTTACTTTTTACGGACCCACTGTATTTTCGGCGGATCTTCGTATAACTCATTCGCGCGCGCCGCGACGACGCCACGCGCCCGAAACCGAAACAAACTTGCAAGCGAACCGAGAAGCTCGCTCGCAATTGGAATTCGTGCACTTATCGAAAAGTTGAAGCGTTCACGGGCAAAATAGCCAAGATCGCGCGACGAAACGCGGCAAGGTTTATTTTGCAAGTCTCGTTAGTGCGAGTCTCGTTGTTCCGGGCCGTCGATGGATTTTGCACGCTAACGAGAGTTTCGGCCGTTAACTTTGGTCCGCGTGTGGGTTTCTCCACGAGGCGGGGCTAAATTTCGAGAGAGAGAGAGAGAGAGAGAGAGCGAACTTAATATTCATGCCTCGCCTGCGAAAAAGGACGCTTCACTGGACGCTTATCTGCGCGCGCGACCACCTGTAATATTTATCGCGAGCCGCCGGCGAGCGGAATAACGCGCGCCTTAACAGTCGAGTAATTCGATTGGCACAGCGCCGCCCGGCGTTAACGTTCACGGCCACCGCGATTAAAGTTCGAATCAGGCCGAATTTCGGCTCGGAATGGTTCGCGCTCCGGTCGACGCCAAGTTATCGCGTGACGAGAATACAGGAGAGCTACTGCCGCGATTTGGCTTTAGCAGCAGACAGAGGGAGAGTCGAAAATAAGTTGGAGGAGCCCACCAGTTCTCTCTCTTACGGTTCGGCTCGCCACGGGAAGCCCACTATCAGGGCTATCGTGCGATCCGCTGCTTTCCGGATATTGCTTGCTCTCTTTCCCTACGCGCATCTTACTTTTGGACTGGCCTCCGCGTTATCGCATCTATCGTCCGTCGATAATGCCCTACTAGATTTGTCGCGAGCGCTTCTGCTTCGTACTCGACTCTTTTTCCTCGAGTAGCCGACTTTCGACGCAACTTTTATATAGAACTCGGCAAACTTGAGGCAGAATTGTCCAAGTTCTGCATCGGAAATACTTGAAACGGCGAATGCTTTCCATTGCAGTTCCAAGTGTATACACTCGAAGGCTCCATTGAAAATTGCGAAAATGCGAGTTCGTTCAATTGGTAAATAGCCGCACAATTAGGATAATTAAGCCGAGTTTTATCGATTATAATTACAAGAGCTCGCTACTCAATCTGGCCGTGGAGCGCGCTCACTCGACGATCCACTTATAACGCGTGCAGCCCTGAAACTGTATATCCGACGGAGTGATAACTATTGTAAATCACGTTTCCAATGAAGTGCGAAAGGGGATTCTCTCCTTGCCGCGCAGCCAGCCAGCCAGCCAAAATGAAAAGATTGCGTGTATGGCCACCGCGAAAGCGGCATAAAACAGGTCTCGCGTTCGAAATGACGTTCCCTTGCACGCGAGATATTTCCCCAGCGAAAACCGCATGCAACAGTAAACATCCGCCAGTCTGTGGTCGTCGTCGTCGCGAATACAGTGCCAAGTATCATGCGAAGATTACTTCGTACCACCGTGGTTGTTTGCTCGGAGCGCTCCATTAAAAAGGAAAAAAAAAATAAATAAATAAATAAAGGGAGCGCCGTGGCGGCGCGTTCGCTGAATTCGAATTCGTTTTTATTCCTTAATTACCGCGCGCGAAAAACAAAAGGAAAACGGGCAGTGACGGGTGGCCGGGTGGCCGGGTGGCCGGGTGGCCGGGTGGCCGGGTGGGGGAGGCGCGCGCGAGCTGCATTCGCGGAAACAAAACAGCTCGCGCGAAGCGCGAATGGCACGCGTCGCCGCGCGGCTTTTAAAGCTTCGGCTGATCTAATTAACGGAGCTAACGAACGATTCTGCAATCTTGTCCACGTTTGGCGCGTCAGCCGCGACACTGTTTTGCCCTCCGCTTCGAGGAGGCGACTCGGGCCTTCTGCCCATTAAGCCGCGCAACGGCTATTGTTCGTCGGCTAGAAATCACAAGATTACGTGAGAGCTTGCGAGCACAAAAGGGACGGCGAGCAGCAGTCTGCCGGGCGCTCGAATGGAATGGGATTTACCGCGAGCAGGGCTGATCGAGGGCCGCGGCGGGAGGAGGGGGTTCGGCAAGCTTGCACGCCCGTCTCACGGCACATGCAACTTTCGCGCTCTATTAATAGCCTCGCGGACCTGCCGTCACGTGCACGAACCACGTGGCACGATGCGTACAGATATACATAATCCTTGCAACGTCAAACATTACCTCTTTCGGGCTTCGCTTTTCGTTTTATTTATCGTTTTTTTCCTTATTCCCGGCGCTTCGTCATATTTCTCTTGGCTTGGTCGACGGCTACTCTCTTCTTGCCCGCGCGCACTCCGCGCTCGTGAAATCCCCTTTTCGGACGTCCCCGTCACAGTGCGTGCATACTCGGCGGTAAACTTTTCCCACTGCGTGCGCCGCGTTTCCCTCTCTCGTTGTATCGCGTGCGTTCGGTCTCGCGTTGACGAAAGGCACGTGCGCGTGTGGCGGTGGCGCTCGGCCGACTGCCAGACATCATCGGAGAGAAGCAGTAGACCACGCGAATTCGCCGGCGCCTAAAGATCCTCGCGGGCATGCGCGTGTGCCTTTACAGGTGTGCGTGTACCCGTCTATGTAGACGAGTTTGCGCGATGTCGAAAGTAAACACCTAATGTTCAATTTTTCTCTCTGCCTCTTCCTGCTCGGCGCGGCATGCTTGCGCTAGCAATGAATTTATTTTACGCGAAAGTTGCGCGCCTATCCAGCTGCATCCTCGGCTTTTGTATCGATTGTTTCGCGCAAACATTTGACTAGCGGTTATTATGTTTAGCGTAAGCATAATAACCGCAAGTTAAATATTTGCGTGCGCAATAGGGCGAAACGGGTCAGTGGGCTTTGGCGAGAGATTATGTACGAGCGCAATACGTACGCATAGATAAAATTCAATTTATTCGAATGTCACAACGGCACGAGCCGCTGTTACTAAACGACACGCGGTCACAGACGGAAAATTAGTAGGCCTTGCAAAACGTAGGTTCGAAGGGCATTTGTCGCGCTTTAACAACAGGGAACATGCATGTTAGTTGGACGTTAAGTACAACGCGGGAAGGAGCAAGCTGACGTGCACACTTGATCCCTAGACATTCGCTCGAGTAGATCTTCTCCCCTCCCCCCTGCTTCTTTTACGTCCTCTTCCTGTTTGCATGGGGCGAAGCTTGGAAGGTTTATACATTCTGCAGTCCGGATGCCAAGCACGACTGATCGCCGACCGACTTTTATATAGGCTGCTCAGCTGACTTTTCCGGCTCCTTATCTGCCTCGATTTTATCGGATATTGAAAAATCACTGGCTTCCATCTCGCTCGGGATTCAAGAGTCTCTCTCTCTCTCTCTCTCTCTCTCTCTCTCTCTCTCTATCTACCTCCTAATCCTACTTTTTCCGCGACATAACAAGGCGAGAAGAGAGGACAAGTGTATTCTCGAGTTAAAGCTGCTCGTTATAACTTGACCGATCGCAGGCGGGCAACCACCACTCGAGCTCTATTTTTTCCTTGATCGACCTCTTTCGGCAGCGCCCTCGCGCACAGCCACCACCTCTGATTGACCAACGGTGTATTCGCGCTCTCTGTCTCGCGTTGCTCGATTAATTGGCTAATTGCCGGTGCGAGCAACGGCCAAGGGATTTCACAGGCGGAGACGAGATGATCGCGACGATATCCCTGGCCGAGTCAAAGCGCAACGAAGGCTCCGAGGGTGAGGCTTTTGTTCGCGGAGACTGCGCGCGAGCCGGCATTGCCCACTAGACTGGGATAAAGCCTCGCCCAGGCACAGAACGAGAGAGAGGGAGCAGATTAAAAAGTTTCGCACTGCTGCACCGCCCGCTGTATATATACGCTCCGTCTGTCTTGCTTTCTTTCTTCGCCGAGCGCTAGCGAGGCAGGCTTCTTCTCGCTCTTCGCGGCTGCACTTTACTTTGCAGATAAAAACTTTCCTCTTACTTGACCTTCGTCAAATTTGCGATTCAGTCGCTGCGAGCACGCTACCTTTCGCCGCTACACGCTAGAGAGGAAAAAAAAACAGCAACCTATATTGATTACTTAGAGGCGCACAAACACTCGGACTAACCGACTCTCTCTCTGTCGATGAAATTAAGCCAAAAAAACACGTACATATTGCGCGTGGAACAAGTGGTACAACTATCCCCGATAAAACAAAAAAGAAAAGAAAAACAAAAAAACAGAGAGGCACGGAAGGATACGTGGTTTTGCATGTACTCCGTGTGGGCGTCACATGATTTATGCGCGCGAGCGGAAGAGGAGAGCATAAAAGCTCCACTGCCGAATCAACAATCAAGGCGAAGGCGAGCACCGTGTCAATAAATTTTGCAGGGCGCCACGGGACACACACGCGTGCGCGCCCGTACTTCTTCTGCTTTCGGCCGGCCGGCGATATTTTATGCATGCACATCCTCCCGTAATGCGCTCCTTGAACTCGCTTCTAGGCGTTCTCTTTCAGATACGACGACTCTTCGGTCGTAGGCAAACTTCATCAACTTTTGAAAGTCGACCGAGTCTTCTTGTGTAATGAGATATCGGGGGAATTGAAGAGTATGACGTCTATCTTTTTTCCGCCAGCTAGACATATTTTTCATTTGAGTATTTGACGTGGAAAGAAAAACTTGCACAAGTCGACATTTCTCGTTTGCAGTAGCGCATATATTACGCAACAAGCGAAAGTTATCGGTGATTTATCGAATCGATTCGCGTCAGAGATTCGGATGGATCGAGGTTTTTTATTTGAGCAATGAAAACCAGCCGGATTGCCAATCAAAAATCTTCTTTTTATTTGTGTTTTGAGTGCGACCGAGGCTCTATTGGAAAACTTGATTGTAACGTTTGAAAATAAAAAAGAAAAAGCCAATCGAATGATGGTTTCATTTTACTCGGCTATCCGGGGATTCCGGAGAAATACGAGTTAATAGATACGCGTTCGATTGGTTATTTTAGGTCCCTCGTGCACAAAAAAAGAGAGACGAGGCATTTTTTTGCAGACTCATGTTATTCCATCGCTGTACAAAAGCCCGGGATAATTGAGATTGAACGACTTTCGATGACTGCTCCAATTTGTAAAATGAACAATCGAGCGAGTCTATAAAAGCACGCACATACGAACAAGTACGTATCAACTATGTGATTATATGATACAACTCAACGGTAAAGACTTAAATTGGTAAAAAAAAAGAAACGTGTTATATCTACAGGCGTAAAGTATACGGTAACAAAACAGTGTTATGACTATATCGTACAATAATATTAGAAGAAAGCTTGGACAAATATTTTAATAAACGTAAGATTTATCGCAAAGTATGCGTTTCGCGCACTCTTCTGTATCGGTGACTCGTTGGAAACGATACTTTCATTTCCGGAACAACTAGTACGGGTCGAGCTGGCGCTCAATTGTCAGCAGGCCATAACGGCTCGCGACGTAGGCGTGCACTCGGACGATATTACAAAAAAGGAAATAAAAAAGGCGCACTGAAAAATTGTTTGCACTAGGATTTTCTCTGGCACGAAATCTCTTTTCACGGGTAACGCGGGTAACCACGTTTGCAGGTGTGCGGCGAACAAAGCGAGTTATTTATCTGAACATAACAGAGTATCCGTCGCACGCTTTCGTTGGCGCTCGCGTTCTCTCGATCCATCACACCGTGGAGACTGCGTTGAGCGAAACACGACGGATCGTCGCGCTTGTCCCTCGGTGGTGTAATGAAGCGCGCCGCGCTTTATCTGCAAGGGAAAAGAAAATTAAAAAAGTTTCGCCGAGGGAAAGAAAGAGGAGCAGCAACAAGCAAGACACTCACGAGACGTCGTCGGCTGCTCCGCCTGGCAAATGCTCGCAAAGAGAGACGCCGAGGGTTTTTACCTCGTCCGCCGCTTCTTCGGGGACAGCGCTAATTTCAACAGATTGACTATCGGCGCCTCGAACGACAGCGAGATGCAGAAGGCCATGAGGTACGAGGTGCAGAAGTTGCCGAAGTACACGATCATCTGGCAATGAAAAACAAATGGAGCTTGCTTTATGAGCGGCTGAATTCAAACTATCGCTTTATGGCTTTCTAACTTCTAACTCGAGACTGGATTGTTCTTTGTTGAAAATCTGCCAAAGCTACAGATATTCTTGCATTCGTTTTAATAAATTCGTCGGCTTGTAAACGCGTCGAATAAACGCCATTACTTTCTTGACGAATTGCTCTGCCCGACAAATTAACGGTTAACGGGGATCCAAAGGGCGCGAGGCGAGAACAGAGCTCAAAATTTACTACTTCATAGCTTACGGCCAAGACACGTGCAATCTATCAGGCGCCAAAGAGGGAGCGAGAAACTATGGTTCAGCGTGATGAATCGTATTTTGAGAACAGTGGGAAAAAGTAGGGAGAGGAAAATTTAGACAAGCGCGTGAACGTCTATTTATTTCAACTGTGCAATGGGGACTCGAGTCATTGTACCGTCAGATGGATAAGAAAGACCCACAAAGCAAAAAAAAACATTAATTACTTGTCGGCCGTCGATGGCTCCATAAGTCGTAGGTAGGAGCCATCGACGAACCGGGTGACGCATCCGTCATTTGGTCGTGCGCAAGCTAGCTGTAAAGAAGTGTCTCGAGGTAGGCGTGAACTCACGACAAGGCCGTTGTGCAGATGAAGCGGTCCGTCCATCTGGGTGGAGGTGAACATCATGATCATGGGGTGAACGAGGTAGGCGCAGTAGGTGAGCCTCGACAGGGGGTAGATTAACCTCAGCGAGAGCAGCCTGTCAATGAGCGGCGCCGCGCCGGTGCAGCACTGCACCACGATGAAGCTCACCGCGACGGCCCACGCGGTGTGACCCAGACTCGCGTACAGCGAGCTCGTCGTCACGCTCAGATTCTCCGGGTAGAGCCCGTACACCAGCGAGCACATGGTCAGCGAGGAGCCGATCCAGCCTGCCACTCGCAGCAGCTGCGCGTCGCCGCAGAGTCACCCACAACGGACGACGCCTTGGTTATAGTCGCCGGACCAGCTCGTTATACCTCGCTCGCGCGCAATCCCCCGTCTCCTCGGATTCGTCGTACTCCGCCTTTTTCATCCTTGCAAATTTTTACGACGCGCGCGCGCAGCCAAGTTATTGAACTCTCAATGACGCGCGTGATGCCATTACCGTTTCAACAGACTACTTTTACCGCGCCGAGGCGTTTTACGCGGGTAATATAATGGAATTTAGCTTTCTTGGCATTTTTTTTCTCTTCCCTCGCCAAAGTCCGACCGAAGGTCAAACTTACGTTTTCTTGCAGCGCACGAGTAATAAGCGCTTTTACGACATCGAGGGGTTCATCAACATTGCGCTCGGAGGGCATGTCAAGTCTTGTTGCTCGTAGCCCGTAAAAATCAATCGCAAAAACCGATTCATTAAGCGCCAATGCATCGGCGCGAGCGCGATATCGCTCTGACCGAATAACGAGCTCGCGGGCAGGCGCGAGTCGGAGGCGCGTCCGCGAGTGCCATTAGCATTCGTCGATGCGACTCGAAATCGCGCGAGTGCTTTACGAGAAGGAGCGGGTTGTGTGCGCGCGGCGGGGGGGGGGGGGCAGCGGCGACTATGGAATTATGCGCGGCGAGCGAGGGTGCGGCACGTGTAATTCCGTCGGCGCGCGGCGGATGGAAATCGACGTTCGATCGATCGCCAGGGCCACTTACCAAAGGGATCTTTATGCTGCAGTTGGTTTTGAACAGGAGATAGCCGGTCATCGTGCCGATGAAATACGGCCCGGCCCTGAGCCACGGCTTGTCGTACAGCTCGTCGAACAGTGCGAAGGGCTCTTGAATCCTGTCGGCATCAACGCAGACGTTAGGCGAATAAACTCCCTCCCCCTCTTATCTTCTTGACGACCAGCCGACGCCTCGTTCGTTTCATTCATCCGCCTAACAGAATTCGGCCGACGCGCGCCCAGACGTATTTCCGCTGTACGGAGCCGATTCTTTCGCGACTCGGACAGGAGGAGAGAGGACTGCCTGGGACTGACGCGAGTTTGACGGATGAATCCTTTATCGAACGTCCGGACGAGGCTCTCGTCGAATCGAACAAATAGACAACCGCTCTCGATCCAGCCGCACGGCACGATCAACCAAACGACGTTGATGCGCGATGGCATCACGAAAAATCGACCAACTTGATCAAGTTTCACGAGTCGCTGCAGCATCGTCGATTTGCTGCGCTCCGCGCAAAAACGAGGAACGAAGAGGCGCTGCAGTTTTACGATTAATAAAGCTCGAGATGGGAAGAATAACGCTCATTAAAGTCGACCGAGCGTTATTCGCCAATAATGATCCGCGGCCCTTATTAATTTCATCGGTAAAAGTGCAAAGGCAGCCTCGGGGCTTGTTTTCTCCGGACTGGGCTGTTGGGAGGAGAGCAAACGGCCCGAGCGTGCCGCAAGGCAGCGTCGGCCGATCGGACGCGCGGCGAGATCCGCGGCTAGATCCGCGGCTGCCCCGACGGCTCGGATAGCGCAGCCGTTGCGCAACGCGCATTGTGCGTGAAATGATGACGCCACGCTCACCTGGCCACGTAATCGTTGCCGTAGGCGATGGAGAAGGTGGTGAACCAGGAAGAGACCATCAGCAGCACGATCAGCGCGGCGACCGCGCGGAAGTACCTGACCGACAGCAGCAGCAGCGAGATTCCCAGCACGTAGAACTGCATGTCGTTGGCCATGTACCAGCTCCACAGCATGCACTGCCGACGAGGCCACACACACACGGACAGCTCGCTCAAGCTCTCTCGCCGACCGAAGTGTCGCGCGCCTCGATGCGGATTTATCGCGAGCCGGCCGCAGCCCGTCGGATAAGAGTCCAAGTTTTCGGCGAAGCCCGACAAAGAAAAATACGAGAAGCCAGCACGCATAGGCAGCGCGGAAAACTTGTATAATGCATGCGGCCGCGAGAGTGGCGTGGAATACGTAATGCAGGCGCGCGCAGAGACAATGAGGCGCGAGTCTGAATGATGGTCGTTCGCCGATAAAGGCCTTGGACAATATACATTACCATCTCGGTGCGAGGATAAAGGGAGTTCACGTAGAGGGCATTTCTCCACCAGAACTGCTCGCACGTGTGGTGATCGATGATCTGCGGCGAGAACACCGTCACGGACATGGCGTACTTCATGGCGATCAAGTTCAGCCCGAGCACGAACAGGTACGACGGCGTCAACCTTTGTGGTGGTGGGGTTTGCCAATGATTATCAGTGTGCTCTCGCTGGGGCATCGTCGCGGCGGCGGCGGCGGCGGCGGCGGCGGCGCTTACCGAACGAATCTGTAGAAGATCATGATAAGGAACTTGCTCGTGCTCGCCCTGAAGAAGCTGGTCTTATCGGTCGACGTGCCGCCGGACGACATCGATCGGTAGAACAGAATGGTCACCAGCAAGCCGCTGCAACAGAGCCACAACTCTCCCGTTCGTTAGTCGCGGCGCAACGGCGATTGGAATACTTTGGCCCTCGTCTCCGAGCGTCCGACTGTGTAACTGCGTGCGATAATCTCGCAGCGCGGCCAAATCGATAACGCGCGGCCGTTACTCGATTGCGTGCTCGGAGACACGAGCCACAACAGCCGCGGCTCGACAGCTCCGTTGAAAAGCTCGCGCTCACCTGATGAAGAAGAACGTGTCGACGGAGAAGGTCGCGTTGCTGATGGTTTGGAACATGAAGTTCCTCTCGGTGACGGTGCGCAGGATCTTGTTCTCTATTGGCAAGAGAAAGGCATTATTACCGGTGAAAGCCGGCCCACCGAGTACACGCGTCGTCGCGCGGCCGACCAGTCCGTCGAGCTTTCGACGCGCGCCGTTCTTTCCCTCCTTTGCCCTCTGCTCTTCCTCGCAAAGTTCGATTACCCTCGGCCTCTCGACAGCCGCGCAAACCCAATTGCACCGAGGACAAATGCAGCGCGAGAGGCGAGCGCTGCGGTCGGAAAAAGTAGAAAGTCCACTTGCGATCTTTCTCTTCGCTCGCGTTGCGTCGATCCGCGCGGATGTGCGCGGATGTGCGCGGATGTGCGCGGATGTGCGCGGTCACCTGCATCTCGCATCTCTGCGACGCAGCGCGTTTGCCGGATAAAAACGAAAGCTGATCGGCCCGCGTGAAAGGATATGCTCCAAGACCTTGTCGTCCGAGCGGACAAGAAAGAGGCAGCGTTACGTTGCGTTGCGCCGAGCACTCGATTAAACGAATCGCAGCTCGTTGCTACGCGAACGCCGATGAATTTTTCGACGAACAGCCTCGGCAGAGAGCGACGTATCCCGAGAAGCCAGACAATGCTTCGGCCGATAATTCGCGGAATAAAGGAAAGGCGGCCTTCCGTCAAGGCGAATGCGATTCCCGCGGGCCAACGCGAAAAGAACAACAACAAGGCCGAGGGCCCTTGGCGCGCAAATTATATCGCGCTCGAGCTCTGCGCCGAGCGGTACCTGCGATCGAGAAGACCTGCAGGTAAGTGTGCACCATGACGACCCAGCCGAGGGATAGCACGCGCAGTCCGTGCAGGCAGGTCAGGCTTGTCTTGGTCGCTGGCTCGACGCTCACGATCTTGCCGCCGTTGGCCATCGGACTGAACGCCAGCAAACAACTGACCAGTAAACCTAGCAACGACCACGAGTAATTACACATCTCCGCGCCGACGTCTTCGCTGCTCGACGATCGTTACCTCGATCCCTCTCGATCGGCAGATCGTCCTTCGGCGCTTTGCCACCCTTTTCCATCCTCTCGATGAGTTCCTTGTCGTTGTGGTCTCGCGGCCCGGTACCACGCTGCTCCTCCAGATTCTTGTCGGCGTACTCGGCCGGCCGGTCGTTGTTGTTCGAGGCGCTCAGCGATTCCGCCTCCTGCTGGACCGACAACGAGCATCCCTTGGACGCGAACTGCCCAGTGCGGTACTCGTAGATCGTCGCGCAGATCATCAGCAGCAGCGTTAATGCACTCGCACATCTGCGTTTGGATTCGTTGCCTTGTTTACTTATCGAGCGCGAAAGTGCAGCTGAATAATTCAAGGGAGATTTCGCTTTCGATGTATTCTTTTGGCTGAATCATTCGATATCGATCAGTATGCTAATCGGTACGAGGCGAACACGAGGAGGCATCGTCGCTCGAGCAATTGTTAATCGTCGCGACTCACTGGAATATCGAGGCATAGCGCGGTCAACGTCATCACCAAGTATAATGCTTTGCCGCATTACCGAGCGGCACCCTTTCGTTATTCAATAGCCGACGTTAATATCCAACGGGAAAACAATCGAAAGTGCTCTTAATCTGATTTGCATTGGATTTTACGAGCGCGGCTAGTGGCTAATCCAATTAGCTGTGTGCACTTTTGTTTGCCCGCAAGTCGATAATTTCGCGTTCGCGCGCGGTTCAGTTTCATCGTATTTCCATGGGCCAGGTAAAAGTGCTCTCTCACCGCGCATATGCACTCGCGATCGCTAAGCTGCTGTTAATTGAAACGTTACGCGAAATATTTATTTGGATTTGCCGAGCGAGAGAGAGAGAGAGAGAGAGAGAGAGAGAGAGAGAGCAATTAGCGCGTTGCGCAAAGTGTTACACCAAGGAAAGTTTGATCGCGAGGAAATTGCATTCCACGAGAGAGCGATGTTATTATACTGCTCGCTCGGCCGCTCCACTTTTGCGAGAGGAAAAAAGGCTTGTTCGCAGGCGTACGCGACGACGTAAAAATGTCAGCCCGGATATATAAGGCGAATCCCCGTAATAATGCTGAAAATAGACTGCGGTACGTAAGGAATGAGAGGAGAGCCCGGAAAAAGCGGCAAGACTCACGCAATCCGATTATCGGTGGAGCACGTATACGTGCAACGCAGCGCGTCATTATATCCTGCCAGCACTACGCGATGGAGATAAGTGGCAGCGGCGAGAGAGCGAGAGAGTGGGAAAGATACCAAACACGTTTGATTATCCAACTGGCGCTTTTGCGATTAATCCGCTGGGCGCTGCTGTTGCCGTGGAGCTATATAACCAGCTTAAATATCGAACGAGATTATCGAGCCGTCGGACTGTCCGTTGTCCGCTTACGCTCGCTGCGTTCGATTGTTTTCGAATTTCGCCCCCCTCCCGCAGGTCCATCGTCGATTCAATGGGATGCGCCGGGCTAATTGGACGTATCTCGTTTTTGCTTTGCGCGCGTGGATTTGGCGGCGGCAAAAAGAGCTACGTTGGAGTGCCGACGAACGTTCAGCCCCGACCAGCCGGTTCCGTTAGACGCCGCGCGAAAAATTTCCGTCCGTCTGCGAAAAAGCCCACTTGGAGCTCACGGTAAACCTCGTTCGTCGGAATCTCGATCATCCGTGTTTCATCATTCGCGTTCGGCCTGTCCATTGATTCCCCGGCACAAAACCCTCGGGGGCCTTGTGCGTTTGCCTTTGTGCTCTTGTTTTTCCAGTGGACGCGCTTTGCTTTCTCCCGCTTGCACTTCCGTCGGCTGGATCGCCGTAACGAGATTGCGCGCAACATATGCTTGGATTCGGGGAAAGGATGGACCGGTCCGGGCTCTCCGCGCAATACCTTCGATTCGATCTATATCTATGGATGCGTTGGCTGGCTTTTGCGTACGCGGCGACAGCGGATGAGCGTGCACTGTGCGTGTCGGTCACTCGATTACGAGACTTTACAAGTTCCAAGTTTTATATCTCCCTCGCGGATGGAAAATTTCGCTCGATAAAGTACGAGTACGTTGGTACTCGTAAGAAGCGAGCGAGGATTCCGTGCGTTCCTCTAAATGGGATTGGAAGCGCGGACGAATTTGCCGTTGAGCCCTCTGCTCGCTGAGCCGCTCGCTAAGGCCAAACGTGAGTCGGAGAGGGGGAAAGGCAATCAATCGGAAACAATTGCGCGAGACATTGATAAAACGTGAAAATTTGATAGATAATGGTCTCTCTCGCGGCGCATTAGCGAGTACCGTTTTATGACATTTCTCGCGTGCCTGCTGCCTCATTGACATACGGCCATCCATTGAACGGATAATCCGTCGGATAGCAATCTCTGTGCTAGTGTCTGATTATTTTATATTGGAATAGCGGTTAAAAGCCTGCGTCGATCCATAAAACGTCATTGGCAATGACGATCAGGCAGAGCTGGCGAGAGAGCAAATTGCGAACGGCGCCGATCCGACTGTGTACTTAGGGCGAGGTACCGTTGTCCCAATTCGATAACTAGACGAAGCCACAACGGCCACTCTCGTTTGGAGCGACAGCGAGAGTGATCTCGCGAACGCCGCGCGTCCAATTTTCGGTCTTTCCGCGCCAAGCGTCGCCCCGAGCGTCACCGGGCTCGATCGAGGACAAGAGCACAGCTGCCGGGAACAGCAGCCCCGCGCTCGTAAGTGTTCCGTAATTTGCAGCCTCCTCCCGATCGCGGCGCTGCGCAAATCGTCGGAGGCCGAGAACGACGCGCCGTATTTTTCTCGCGGATGTGCGTCGACGAGCCTTGGACTCGAGCCAAGAGTTTGCCGAGCCGCGTGTGCGTGCGTCGACGGCACGCGGAAGCCAGCAACGAACTAATCAACTTTCGCCAAAGTTTCTCCGTCGCGCGCACGCGCGCGGCCGCGGCGTTATGGCTTTGTTCGGCGGACGATCGAAATCCAAAACGAGTATGACGTTCGGTTGTGCCGCGCGCGTTATTGCCCCGAGTTTTCCGACGCGAACTTTCCTTCTGGCTCTCTGCGGCGGGACGACGCGACGACGCGACGACTTTCGCGGCGTCCGTTACGTGACGCTCCACCGTGGTGGCATTTGCATTCGGCCAGTCGAATCCGCGAGCGAACAGTTGTCTAATTGGCGCGAGGAAAAGTGGCGAGTTATCGGTCGGCTTCCCTCGACGGCATCCTCGAGTCGGCTACTTATTGCGCGCTCGGAAAAGATCGAAAGAAATTGCTCTCTCGGCGCGACCGACAAACGCGGCGAAACGTGCACAGCGAGAATGTGTTTGTAGAAAGTGCATCTCTCTCTCTAAACGAATTACATAAAGTGCGACTCGACGCGATGATCATTACCGCGTGGTTGCGTAATTCGAGTCCGTTTCGCGCGCGCGTATGCATACTCGGTGCACGGCGCGTCGCCGAGGACCGCTCCCGGCAAGCGCTCTCCTTTCTAAATCAAGGCGATCGAGCGTAATTAATCCAGCTTCCGTCGAGAACAATTTATCCGTCGGCCGCGAAGCCGCAATTATTCACCGAATCGGGTGGCCGCGCGAGCTCGCGAGCGCGCGAACGTGTGACTTACGTAAGGCCGCTGGACCGCAAAGCAGGTCGCGAGTGCCTTTTCCATCGCCGAGGGATTCGGCTGAGTCAGCTGTATTTCTCTCGGTTGCGTGACCTTTTTTTTGCCTTTGGGTTTTTAAGGCTAATTGTCAGGAGAGCGGCCAGCGAAAATATTATGCTTTTGTAAAATGCTCGTTCGAGATTGCGAGCGGCACGCGAGGGGATTTGTTAACGCGGCCCAAACGTTTATTATTTGAAACGACGTGGGCTTGTGTGTATGCGCCAAGACGACGCGAGTTGCCAACTGACGTTACCACACGTAGGCAAATGTTTGCTAACTTGTAATAAATTGTACGTGGCGCGTGTAATCGCGTAATATCGTCGGCGAATTATCCGACAAGTTGGTTTAGCTAGTAGCATTACTTCTGTTTGCTAAGTTCGAAAGTCAACTGACGATGCGCAACTTTACATTGATCTCTTTAATAACACCGCGAAACGTATCGTTGATAAAACCATAGCGTGAATAGCCTTGTACGGTATTTCGACAACTTCGCGAGGATATCTTTGTTCCAGCAAACGCTGGCGTTGCCTAAATTTATATGAATGTGACGAAAAGCGTCAGCCCGCGACGAAATGTGACGAGAGGGAAAAAAATACAGCGAAATAGAAGCGACGGAGTAAGACATGGAAAAACCGCGCGGTGCGTGCACAGCGGCTCGCCCGCCGGCAAAGATATCGAGCAAAGCCATCGCGTATCGCGCGTTCGGCTCTGCCGGTGCTCCCCCCTCGCGGCGCGGACCGTCGAGCCCTTTATTTATTCGAATCTTTCCTTTGTCTTGTGATAGCGCGCGCTGCGAACAAAGCGATCGCGACAATATTGACCACGCGCGCGCAAACGAAAGCTTGGCGTTGCGCTTCCGCGACTTGGATTATTATCGCGGCGAACATTGCGCCGCAGCTTTGGATAAGCAGCCAGCCGGCCGTTAATTATCGTCCGTCGATCGAGTCGCGTCCCACGGCCAAGTACCGCTGCGTATCCACCGACGAGGCGTCGCCGGCACGCGAATGCTTCCCTGTGGCGCGTCGCCGACGATAGCCGCAGACGGCTGTTGTTTTCTTTTTCCAAGCGGTTGCGCCGTTCGCGAGAAACTTAGGTCCAATCAACGGCAACATCCGCCCCGAGGGCTCTCGTCTTTTATTAATCAGAGGCACCGATCGATTTGCTCCGTACTCCCCGCGAGGATTCCTGGTAGCGCGCGCGCGCGGACAAAAGAGAGGGAACGTCGCCAAGTGCAACGTCGATGCGATACTCACGCGAGTGCGTAGAACTTGGGGTCGTTCCACGGCGAGTAGTCGGTACTGGGTACCTTGCGCACCTGGACTATGTGGATCTTGGGCCCCTGGCCAGCGCGATGCGTCGCTTCGCCTTGGCGCTCGACGCGCTCGGCGCTCGCGCGCAGCATCGATTTCACCGATGCGTGCTCGCAGCTGATTGGCAAGCACAGCCCGATGAACACTTGTCGAGTCTGCAAGGAGAAAAGTACAAAGCCGGGCTTACGAAGTGTTTCGTTTGCTTTTGCGCAACGCTAAGTGCTGCCGCGCTGTTCGTTGGGGAACCGCCGATGGCGGCAAACAAAATTGGTGAGAATTTCGACGGCAGATTTTCGTAATGCTGATTTCACTTTCAAATGTAATCAGTACCGAATTGAACTTTGCGCGGCATTGCCAGTGCGGTGGGACGGGTGACGGGGGACAGGGGACGGGGGACGGGGCGGAGAAGAGCTTAGTTACACTGCAATCAAACTTTCAATCGCAATATAGCTGCCGACCGAGATGGCATTTGGCCGCGCGGAAAACGAGTAGCAATTTCGCCCATTCGATAAATTAAAGAGGAGCGCCCAGAGGGGAGCGAGTTTTCAAGAGGGTGTATACACTCGTAAGCCCATGGCTTCCGCGTGGGCGACAGAGAAGCCACGAGGCCGCGAGAGCGCGACGTCGTTGGACGTGCTCGCGCGGCCAGATCCACTTAGAATCGACGAGCCTGGTCTACGAGTGCTATAGCCGGCAGATAAGACATCACGGTCTACGGCGAAAGAACGGGGGAGAGGAGATTGATTCTCCCGGCCACTTCCGTTCGATGGTATATCGGCGTAGCAAAGCGCTCGTTCTCTCCCTTGTCACGCCAAAGCCTGCTATCGCACCCAGACCCCGCTGGGAACACGTTTTCGTTGTTAAAATCATCGCGCGCTCCGGCCAATCGTTATTACGTGAACATCCAGGCGTAATTTGTTCGACGCCGCGAGAGAGAGAGAGAAAGAGAGAGGATATCCTAGTGAGTCAAGCGACTCGCCGATTTCGTAAACGACACGCGGGTAATTTTCGGTGTAGTCTCTCTCTCTCTCTCTCTCTCTCTCTCGTAACGACCGCTACTGGCATATATGACGTGCCGACGCCGCGTGTTTCGACATTGCGCTCGCGTTTGCTTGTTTCTTTCTCGAGCAGTGACAAACGAGGCGGTGGGATTATTGCACCGGTCCGGGACAAGGGCACGACGGAGGGAAGCGTGCTCCTTTCGGTGACCAGGTGGCAGATGTAATCCGCCAGTCGCTGCAACGAAACACTCCGGGGCTCGCTTGGCGAGCTTTGCTGCGGCACCGAGCCGGCCGCGCGGAGCAGCAGACGATTGGCGGCGCGCTAACTCGCGCTTGCGAGAGCTTGCGCCACTTTCTTATTTCTCGTTCGCGCCACACCTCTTGGACGCGCGCACGCGCATATTAACTTTATCGCGAGATAGATCTTACTTAAAAGTTTAAGATTAACAAACTTTTTAATAAAGTTGTTGGAGCTTAGGATAAAAAGTTTCTTAGGGCACATAGGCGGATGCCAAAGCGTTCATTTGTCAAGTTCTCTCCTCGCTACAGCGCCGCCCTCGGTTTACACGAAAAAGGGAGACCGAAGGCAACGTTGGCGAGAAAGGCTTGATCGATGCGCGTAAAATATCGTCGAAGGAACTCACCGTGGACTCGATGTCGGTGGGCAGCATGAGGAACATGCGCGTAACGTAGAACTGCACGAGGAACGGCGAAGTGTCGTTGCTCGCCTTGGCAGTTGCGTTGACCTCGCGGCAGAGCGCGCTCGAGCCCAACCAGAATCCATTGCCAAAGTGATACTGCGAGGAGTAGCGTCCACTCGCGTCCGACACTGCTCCGACAACACAAGCAGAGCACGGTTCAGTCGCGTTTCCTTCCGAAAGCCGGGAAGGTCGTCGTCGCGTCTGTTTCGCCTGCGCGCGGCAGCGGCGACCGCAAAAACGGGCGTCCGTGCGAACGTTTTCACCGCGCGCGCTCGCGAGGACGGCGGCAACGCGGCTCGGCGAATTCTTCCTTCCGCTGGTATTTTAATGCTGTGGGAATGTTATCGGAGGCGGTAGGGGGACGTTTTTTCCCGGTCGATGCTTCAATTTACGATTCCGTCTGGCTGGAAAAGACGAGCCCGAGCGACGAGCGGCCAGCGGGTACGACGACCCCGACGCCGACGTCGCGCGGAAACGTTGATTTCCGCGAGAACGGCGCGGACGAGCGATCGCCGAGAGGGCGTTCGACCGGAGGCGAGCTTGGAGGTTCATTGCCAGCGATCGGGAGGCACGGCGACGTTGCATAAAATAGACGCGCCGACGACGAGTAGAAAGCGCGATTCTCGGCGTTGGCGCGCGCGGGGCCACGCGCCGACGCTGGTTTTCTCTTATTACGACGCGCCATTAGCGCTTCCGCTCTTTCCCTTTGCCCTCGATGAGCATCCGGACGTCAGGCGCGTCGGGCCACCAAGTGTGGCGAGTTTCGCAAGGACGCGCGCGCGCAATTGCACCTGTTCTGACACAATATCGACGCGGCTACGGCCGAGCGTTTCGTAACGCAACCTCAAGCCGGAAACTTTGAAAGCGCCGCGAGTTATGGCAAATCGATCGGTCCTTGTCTCTCCCTCTCCTTCGGCGCCCGTACTCTTGCTTTCTACCGCTGCAGCGCCAAGTCCCAATTCGAGCAAAACTTGATTCCACGTATTCGCACGCACACGCGAGCGCGCGCGCGCGCGCCAACTCGCTTTCTCAGTGAAATCGTTATACGCGCGGCCATCGAATTTCTTCACTCACGCTTGGCAGCCCACAACTCGCCCTTCTTCAAGTTGTCCAAGAACACGGACATGTCGCGACGGCAATGGTCGCTCACGTCGCCGGGTATCTTGGTCCATCTGAGCGGATCGTACAGGTTGATCAGCCACTGGATGCTGTTGCCAGTCTTCTCCAGCTTGTCGCTCATGAAGTCCAGGTCGATCCGCTCGTCGCGCGTCCTCTCCTCCTGCTCGGCGATCTTGCGCAGCTGGAACTTCCAGTCGAGCTCGGGGTTGTTCTTGCTGAACTCGATGGGCGGCCGGTGCGTGGCGGTCGGCGCCCGCTCAGCCTCCGCCGCCGCCGCCGCCGCCGCCGCCGCCGCCGCCGGCCTGCTCCTGTTGCGCGGTATGCGCAGGATGTTGGACCGAGCGCTCGCCTCCGTCGCGACGGCCGTCGTCGTTTCCTGGCAGTCGGCGAGGACGCAGCACAGTAGCAGCAGTAACCACGTCGACGGTGCCATGTCGCATTGACATGGCATGCGGCCGACCCGCGACAACAGCACCGAACGACACCGCGCGCACTCTCGACTCGGCACAACGCAGCGCGAACTATTCGGCGTGCTGGCGGCTCTCGTGCGTCTCTGCGTTTGGCCCCTTTCTCCGCGCGATTTTCCCGTGCAAGTGTCGCGCAGCACCGGGCTCACCGCCAGTTTTGAAGGGGGCTCTCCCACCTTTTAGCTTTTTCCTTGCCCGCGCACAATCTCTCTCTCTCTCTCTCTCTCTCTCCGACTCGCTCGCTGCTGCACTTATTACGTGTAGAAATCGTATGCAGACACTCGTCGTTGCGACAGACGTGCGTTCTACCTGCGCTATATCCCCTGATTTATCACCGACCACCGAGCTGATGGACCTTTAACCGACTCGCCGCTGCATTTGCCATCGCCTATACAAAGTTGTTGCTGTAACCGAGATGTCAACGCTCCATAGCTGGCGCCTCGTTTTATTTTTATTATTGTTTTTTTTCATCAATTTTGATCGAGGCGCGCTCGTCCCGTCTCTTCCTTTCAGCTTTTACGCTTATGATTGTGCCGGCAGGGGCTTTCAGCAATATGCCGATCGTCAATTTTATCCTCATAATTGAGAAGTCATCCAATTGTGAATCTACTTTTACTTTAAGCTTTTCTTTTGGTATTTCTTCACGAAGAAATATTGTTATTGAGAAGCGTAAATTTCAATTCCGGTTCGTCATGTCTGGTTGCACCGAACAGCCACTCGTAAAAGTTATTTCGCAACGAGGAAAATTTTTTTGAACACATCTTGAGCTAGTAGCGAACAATATTTCTCTCTCTTGCTTCATTGCCTCATTGCCCCCTTGTAATATTTATTTATTGCCAAGTCAGCACGCAATTTAAATACCTCGCGAAACTTGCATCAATGATTAGATTGCAGCAAGAGCACGCGGGATTTTCTCCTACTCCCCCCGTCGCTGCATTTGGACTACTAAAACCTTTGGTTGCGTCACTTGTGTTTCCATTTTTCTTGTCCTCTTTTGAGCGTCACTCGCGCGAGGCAGGTAATTACCTCGCTCGCTCTTTCGGACAAAAAGGCACATCAGACGTTGCATTAGTGGCCGCCACTCTCGCTGCCAAAAGTGTTACAATGAAGCGGCAATCCAATATTCCCCGCTACGGCGATCGCCGCAGAGCGACTCTTTTCTTCGGCTTGTCTCATCATTTCTAAAAGAACCTCCGCTGCACTCGTAAACCGAGAGACCCCCGAGGCCGGGTAGCCTGGGTCCCCTTTGCTCCTGTTCTTGGCGAGCTAGCGAGTGGAAGCTATGCGGGTTGACGACGCGACGATCAGCTCGAACGGCAAGTTTGCGTAACGGGACCTGGCGACGCAAACAAACAACGAACGTTTCCCCATGGAGGCGTGCAAGCGCGCGAACGAGAGCGAACGTTTGCGCCCGACGGCAAGTACGCGCGTAGCCGGCCCTTGGACAACCCGCGGCTGATCCGGAAATTGCATGCGACAAAGGCGTGACGTCTGGGGGGACGGCCGCGGACGTTGCGAGAGTTTCCAGCCGATAAAAGCCACATCGGCCGCTGGGCGTATCGGTGCACGGTCGTCCGACGCTCCAGCGCGCGACTCGAGCGAGCTCGGAGCTTTGGCGCGCCGCTTCGACGAGCTCCCGCGATCCCATCGAACGCGAGCCGACTTTTCCAAACTTTCCGCGGACAAGGCCAGTCGGCTCGGTTCGCCTTATGCAACGCCGCGTGCGAGCTTTCTACGAGCGCACGCGCGCGCAAAGTGAGAGGTAGAGGGGCAACCGGTTTGCGCGATCGGCTCGCGGGATAGAAGCCACACGCGAAAGTCCGTCCCGAAAATCGTCATTGGCTTGGCTTTCACTCTGCTCGTTCGGTTTTTTCGGGCCAGCCCCGGGGGTCGCCGGCTCGCTCGCCGTCAAGCTCGCGTCGTCGGCTCGGCGTCGCGCGTGCAACTCGATGGGCGCGCGAGTGCCACGCGAGGCGAACGCCAATCGGACTCCGATCGCGGAAGTGAAAGTCGATACGTCGGCGGAAAAGCTTTTACTTCGGAAATGATTTTGAAATGTCATAGCAGCGCCGCGGGAGATCGCGCGTAACGGAGGTGCTCGTGGCTCGCGGCTCGCGGCTCGCGGCGAGTCTGCTTGCTGGCCGTCGATAACGTGGCGAGCCTGGCGCGCCGCGCATTTTTCGGGGCCAAGCGCGTCATCTCTTGGCTTTTTTTACAACTGCGCGCTTTCCGCCCGATCCAATTATTGATCGTCGACGAGCTTGCCGATCGGTCGTTGGTTTCCTTTTCGCCGCGCCACTTTCGACTGGCCTCTCGGTCACCGCTTCGTTGCCCGGTCGCCACCGCTGCAGCCGTCGCGACGCGCCGATGCCCCCGGAGCTTTGCGATCGCGCAAGCATCCTGTTCGAGAAAAGCGTCGGACTTTAGCAATGGGTCGCGCGCGACCACGCTTCCGACGACGAAAGCTCGCTGGCAAGCTCGACAGCCGGTCCAGCCCCGGATACTTTGGCGATTTCGGAACGCTTGGCAATCCACGCTGCTCGGCTCGCCGAGTGGAAATTTGAAAACGGCAATCGGTTGGACGTCCGTAGCGGCGCCGGGACGCAAGTCAGGATGGCCGAGCGGTCTAAGGCGCTGCGTTCGGGTCGCAGTCCACTTCTGACAAGGCTTTTTTGTTGCTCTCCCCGGCAACGGGCCTCGACCAGTTGGCGAGCAGCCACACTCGCTTTGGGGAGCCGCCGACATTCTCGTAACGGCTAAGAAGCCGCCACGCGCGCCAGTCGGCGATGCCCGGTCCAAGACGCGACGGCGTCTCTCGTTGTCCGGCATAACGAACGATGCTCGAGGACTGGTCGACCTAATGAGCGCAGCCGGTCCACTTGCGCGCGAAAAATGAAGCTACCCTCGCTCGTCAAAGCGGCTGCAGAGTCCCCTTCTCTCGGCGTAACGAGCACTGCTGCTACTAACGGCCCTCTCTGCCGGCGCTCGTTTCCGCTCGTTTCCGCTCGATCCTCCAACTATTAGCTCGCGTGCACGTGCAATCCTTCGTTGGGTCGAATCGCCGCGGATCTCGCTTCCTCGAGCCTCCTCGAGCCTCCACGAGCCTCGCATCACGCGTCGGCGATCTCGAAAGGCCCTTTTCCGTTGGCCGCGTGAAATTTCGGTCGGACACAATTTCGAGCCACGTGCGAGCTGCGCGCCTTCCAGTCGATATCCTCCAGGTTTCCCTTCCTGTTCGGGTCGTTCGACCGACGTGCTCGGCCGTGCGCGTCGAGCATGCCGTTCGCCGAGTATTTAGATGTCTAGTCATCGTCGGGCCGATCGATCGAACGCCGCCTAGTACGGCTTTTCTTCTCGATGATCTCATCCGGGGTCAAATAAGATTCGGGAAGAACCGACGAGTAACGATGGATTTAGTGGCGCTCCCCAGTGAGTCTGCGCGCTTTTTGCAACGTAATCCAGGCTGAGCAGCCGCGCGTACACTGCCGGCGAGGAGCCTCGCGAGAGTCTCATCGATACGGATACGCGCGCGTCGTCAGCGACTTTTCGGCGACTCATCGGCTCCGCGAGATAATGCCACGGCACGGCTGCGGCAAGTAAGCGGGGGCCGCTTTGTTGTTTCGGCGCTCGGCGCGCGCGATCGCCGATCGTCCGAGCGACGCGGCCGCGCGTGCCACTCGAGACCCTCGCGCGGGAAAAAATGGTAACGCGCCGCGCGAGCGCGTCGTCGGCCACCTGGCGCCTAGCGGACTCGGTCGCGCCGCGCCACTTTCGCGCGATTAAACGCGGCTCGCTGGCTCGCCGACGATCGCTCCTCGAGCAGCGCCTCGTATCCGCCCTCGAGAATCTCGAGGCGGGCTTGGCTGCTATCGAAGCGCGCTCCTGCCGACGAGTCAATATGTACATACGTATATGCATATACGGATATACCACGCGAGCACGGCCACGTCTGAAAAGCCGCTCGGAGAATGCGCGTTTGTCAACGGCCGAGAGTGTGCGTTGTGGCGTTGTAGCGTTGTGGCACTCGGCCGCCCCTTCTTTCTTGCTCAAAGTGGCACTGTGTGTTTGTTGGCACTGGCGTAGCCACCTGCGAGCACCGTGTCGATGCAGTTACTCGAACCTCTTATTTTTTCCCTTATATTTTCTCTTATTTTTTCTCTTCGTTTGTTTTCCCATTTTCAACGAGTTTGTGCTGGGCCCCGTTTTTTCGAGCCCCTCGTAACAAGCTTGTGTTTGCTTGGTAAATTGACTTGGCGCTGCTCTGGGCCTCCTCGAGAGCTCCGCTCCGTCCGATTGTGCGTGCATCCGCCCCCGTCGATCACGACGATCTTACTGGTCTTAAAGTGGAGCTTTTGCTGTGGACGGTTCAATGCCGCTACACGCGAAGCCTAAAGAAACTAGATCGTAATAGCAGGGCGCGCGGAGCAAAGCTTCGGCGTGCAGCCTGCCTTGGTTCGTAATAAAGAAAAAGGACGAGAAGCGCGCGGCCGTAACTTTCACTGTCGCCCTCAGCGGCGGCGCATAATTTTTCGTGAAAAGCTTCTCTTTCAGCCCAAGCACGTACGGATTTTTCTATACGCGCGAGTCGCACTGCTAAAATGACAAACAGCGCCCCAGAGAATGCAGCTTGCTCCACGAAGAATAAAAAGAAGAGGGAAAATGCAAAGGTCGCGGTGCAATAAAAGAGAGAGAGAGAGAGAGAGAGAGAGAGAGACTCCCTCTGGGAATAGTCACTGGTATGCAAGCCAAGTGAAGCAGCATACGGACAAAGCCGCGAGACGGCGACGCTGCCGGTATGGAAAAAAGAGGAATACGCGCGAGCGCGCCTGTGTGTACGCGGCGACAAGCCGAGAGCACGAATATCGAGAGCTAATGCCGTCGAAGATAACAGGCTTAGAGATCCTACAATGGCCTCCCCCACACACGCGAAATTTTCCATTTTTTGCCGCTTGCGCTCACACGCGCGCGCACACACACGTACACGCGCGCGCGCTCGGCAACGAGAAGAGATTCACCTAGGCCAGCGCGAGGAATGCGCAACAGGTTCTCTGTTGGAGAGGGAGAATGAGCATTTTCGCTCGGTCGACTCTGCGTGCGCCTCCTATTTTATCTCTATGCTGCGCTGCACACGCGAACAGAGAGAGACAGAGCCTCGGGCGTCGTTCGCACCTCCTTATCTGCGCTGCCACGATCGCGCACCGGACTTGGTTTCGGATCGGATGAAAAATACCGGTGACTCGCGCTATCCTGCTCTGCCAGAGGAGCTCGCTGCGAGCTTAAATACACTCGGCCAAGACGCGGCTACCGTGCGACGAGTATTGTTGCAAATCTCTCTCTCTCTCTCTCTCTCTCTCTCTCTCTTTGGCAAACAGCACTGCACTCGTAACGACGCCGAGTCATTGCGAACGCACTACTGCGCACGAGCGCAAAGAGCATTTGCATGCGTGAGCGTAAAAACCTTTCTTTTCATTTTTTGTCTTTAGCAACTCGGCGCTGCTACGTGCGCGGCCACGTTTTCTTTCTTTTTTTTCCGCCGGAAATTCCAAGGTCTCGTGTATATACACACCTCTAACTCGAGCTCCGAGCAATATAGAACGCGCGTTTTACCCGGCTTTCAGCCGATTTTTGCGCGAAGCTTCTGCGGGCTGGCGAGACCTTTGCCGACCAATTGCGCTACGCGGCTATACGAGATTTTTATTTGTCCCTTTAGTTCGCTCGTTGCCAACTTATTCCTTCTTAAAGCTTCGACTTTTTGCTCTTGTTTTTCCGCTGTGTACTTTTGTTCTTCGATTGGAGCAGTCCCGACCGCGTTCTTAGTAAATGCCGATGGTCGCAAGCGCAACAACAGTAAAAACACTTCCGTTTTCCAGAGAGAATCGAACATAGGGTAGGAACTTGAAAATCTAGATCCTAGTGACTTATGCAACTGCGCAATTGTGAAGAAAAAACACTTAGAATAATGTTTTGTCGACAGTCGCGCGATATAGTATTGCCGCGGATGATCGACGAGCGCTTTCCGAAATGACCAATCCAGATTCCGCGATTTTTCTCCGCTTTATATTCACTTGCACGCGTTGGACGTAGCAATGCAAAATAGCTTATACGTCCTTCGAGTTATTTTAGCATTGATAAGTCAATCGAACGGAGTACACAACAAAGCTTACTATCATCATTGACTATTCTGGTGAGTACTTTGCACGAGCAAAATAAAGTATCGCCTCATCGTCGGCTTTATGACAAATCATTGCAATTGTCAGGGCATACATCAAGCATGCAAAATTACACGCGTCATGTACGTCGCTATTACCATTGAAAATACATTGACTGAAAATTACACATCTGGCTACGTGTAAAGTTGGTTACACTGTATTTAAATAGGAGCAATACACACGATGCGTATGTCATTTTTCAATGACTAAATAAAATTCGATCATTCAATTTGAAAGAGTAAAAATAAATTGAACTTGTAAAATTCACGAACGAATGTTATTTACAAAGCTGATGAATAAAAATTACGTTCGTTATTTTTCCAACATTGGAAACGTCGGATAAGCAGTGAAGAGACAGAGCAAGGCAATGCATAAAGTCGATAAGACAAAAAAGCTTTTCCGAGGCGTAGAATCGCGCAAACGTTTTCTGTTCGTTGGAACTTCCAGTGCTAGTTCCTCGTCGTATTAAAGGATAATGCAGCGACGCTCAAAAGCGCTAGAGGCAAAACCCGTATTTTCCAGTGGTCTTTCGCTTCCAGCATTGAAATGGTGCTTGGCGGCCCATTAATATGAAAGAAGCAAGAGTGTTGAATGTGCGCGTGCTATGAAATCGGTCAAGTGCTGAATTGTTTCCAATGCACGTGTTTTCGAATAATCCGAAGAGCGCAAGAATCCGGAAAGCAAGGAAATTCAGTTGGCAATAGAGCAGAGTCTTCGTCCCAAACGCAGGGAATCGATCTATTGAAATTTGATATTGGGAAGAATGAACTGAAAAAATGACAGATATATCTGGCCAGGTGAAAGAGAGAAAGAGATCGAAAGAGACAAGTCGACGTCGTTATATGGTAAATTATCCGTGAAGCAATGGTTCGGCCTTTGATCGCGAGTGGCGGTTGCATAACCGAAACTTTCGACATTCGCGCTCCGAGCGGACAGTTGAAAGTGGGCTTCGGACAAGGTGTGTGTGTGTGTGTGTGCGACCAAGACCGTGGAGAAGCAATGCGCTCGCAGGCCTGCTTCCCTTGCACGGTCGTTCAGCGTTAATCGCTAGAATATAAAGAGCAACGGTTGGCAGCTCGCACGCAATCACGGGCGTATATCGGAGAGCGAGAGAAGAGAGGAGAAAATGATCGCGGTGATCGTCGTTCGGTAAGTGTCGTTCCTCGAAGCGCACCTGGATGCGCGTCGTGACCCCGATCCCACACACCGAAAAACCAAGAGGGATAAAAGGATTGGCCGCGCGGTGCCGCTGGACTTTCGTAATTCCTCGGCCATTAGCGGCGATTCGGTTATACAGCCTCCCACGTAGACCAAGTAGGCCGCGCTGATTTTTCGACAGCTATGGCAAAGGATAGATACCGTTGCCTTCCGCCGGCAGCGCGTCACGATGGCGCTGCCACGAGCCGGACAGAAACGCCAAGCGGCGCTGGGCGAATGTGTCGAGCTGGAGCGCCGCCGCCGCTGCAAAATGAATCGGCGATCGGGCGCGCATATGGCACGGACCGCTCGGCCAGTCAATTATAACAGTTTAGCCGCGTGTAGCACAGTGACCCGTATTCCTTTTAGGAGCCGCGCTTCCGCCTCGGAGCACGTTATATCGACAGCCGGCGATCGAGCCCCATAAATCGAGGAGCAGCAGCCGCAGCCCCGCCGCGTCGTCGATCCTCGCCGCCGCCCCGCGCGCGGAGGCCAAGGCTCTAACTGTACGCCCTGCGCGAGAGCGAAATACGGGCCAGCGCCGCTTCTCTCGTTTGCCACTCGCGCGCGCGTTGTTTCCGCGAGCGCCTGCTGCCGCCGCCACCGCCGCCGCCGCCACCGCCGCCGCCACCACCGCCGCTCTTCGCGTTTACGACGCCTGCTGTCCTTCTCCGCTAACCCACTTCCGCTCTTCCGCAGCCACGCGCGCCTCTCGCTCGCCCGGACTCGGGTTGCCGAGCGATCGACGTTGCGGCTCGATGGGAGCGCCACGCGACGCCGACGACCTTGAGACGCCGAGATGCGAAATCTCGTTTGCCATTACCCCGAGCGCGCGCGCGCGACAGCGTCAACCGTTGTCGCGACACCTGTCGACGAGCGGCAACGAGGCCGTTCTCTCTCCCGCTCGCTGATCTGGAACGGCAACTTGCGCGTTTGACTAGCCGAGCGTTTGCGTACGGCGAGGAGGCTGCTGCTAGCGTCGCTGAATAGTCGCTCCGCGCGAGAAAACTTTCATCGCCGTGATTTTCGAAACTGATTTAAATAATACACGAGCGATGCATCGCTCGAAATATTCCACGAGGCATGCACGGCTGCTCGATGTTCCTTTTTGCCGTGCTTCGCTCGACAGAGGATGCTTTAATGAAGCGAGACGCCTTTAATTCAAGCGTGATTTAATATTGATGAGGCCAAGATGGAGATTCTTCGGCGCGCAGAACAAGCCTCGACGCTTGTTAAAGGGCAAATTACAATGTCGTCGTCGGCGAGTATTTTTCGCGCTCGCCGAGATATTCGCGGCGGATCCGTATTTTTTCGCCCGACGTGTGTACTAATTGGCTGTCGTGCGTAGATGCTTACCGAACTGTATTACAATTACATTTTTATTCCGCTCGTTCTTTTTCTTTCTTTTTTTCCTTTTCTTCTCTTATTTTTTTCTTTTAGGCGACAACCACGTTGTCGCAACTATGACAGATGTATGTTTTTTTCGACACGTTCGACGGTTCATACGAGGTTATTCCACTCTCGCAGTAACGTTCCGCGTTAAATTATTCTAATAACTTTAATTACGTTTCACGATTTCCGACTAACGTCAACAGTAAGAAAAAGGATTTGCAAACTCACTCATCTCGTTTGCCCGGTGCTATTACTGCGTACAAGAAACCACGAAAAAAAAACAAACAATCGTACATTCGTAGATTTCCTCCGACGGAAAAAAAAGACGTCGAAGTAACAGCCCAGCTTATCTTCCGTCGAGATCACGCCTCGATAATGATTACGTAGCTAATTTTATAATCTCGCCGGCGCGCGGCAGATAACTTTCAATCTAAACAACATTCCTAGAGGTAAAAACACGACAATACAGAGAGCGAAAGAGTAGGGCGGGGGAAGCAGGATGAAGCGCCTCGCGAGACACGAGAGGAGGAGGAGGAGGAGGAGGAGGAGGAGGAGAGGAGGTGAAGGGAATGACCTGGGAGAGCTGCGACTACTTCATTACCGCAGGCGCGCGCGCGCGTTCGTGATTGACAATCAAACGAGAGATTTATCACGGAGTGTAGGCCGTGGCCGCTGCCGCGGTTGTCGTCCCAATAATCAGTGAACGTCCATTAGAGTGGGACGCGCCGCGTGTATCGGCGGCATGCATATCCCGGACTTTTGCGTGCAAGAGAGCGCACACGCCTCGCGCAGCGCCGCATCGCCACTGGTTCCAACCGAGTTTACCGTTCCATTGGCGTTCAGAAACGGGATGCGGCTGCTTCTGCTGCTGCTGCTGGCCGTCGTTCGCTGATCCTGCGCCGGCCACAGCGCGAGATATCGCTGCTCGTCCCTTGACAAGCGCAATCGGCAAAAGTCCATTCGCGCTCGTAGCGTCCTCGGCTTCTCTTGGCAGCCCGCAAATCGTTCGGTATGCACCAGTGGCGCACGCGCGACGAAAGTCGATTAATGGGCCGCGTCCCTCGGACATTTTCGAGCCGTCGCCTCGCGTAACGCCGATCCAGCCGCACGGCTCATCGTCGTTGCCGTGGACGCAGCGAGTTCGGCTTCCCAGGCGCGCGACGTCGCGCGACCTGCACGAATCATCGTCGTTCCCGCTGGCAACAGGTGTCGAGCTAGCGTCGCCGAGGCGCTTCGCTGTTCGGCCGATGGATGATTGTCCGGCTCCCTTGTTTTCCATCCTGCCCGTGCTTGCCGATGTCGAGTGCACGCCTCGCGCGCAATTCGCCTAATTGATTTCGCTCGCGCGCCTCGATTCGTCTCGCGATCCGTTCTTCCGAGGCTGACTTTGTGCTGCGCCGACTTACGATCGCTTTGAGCCTTTAGCGAACGGCGTTGGGATGCTTATCGAGGAGTATCGGGGAGGTTTTTTCGGACATTTGACTCGAGTGGCTTTGGCACTTGGAACGTGACCCAGAGTGACGGCCTGCCAAAAACGAGGAGGGCCCAGAGTCGCGTCGAACAAAGATCAACGATGTTTGAATCGAACGATGCGGCCACTCCGTGGGGCACTACGATGCAAGGTCGAACCGGAGCGAGCGCCATTGTCCGAAAACGAGCACTCGGGCCGACAGCAGCGGGTACCGGCCGGCACTCGGGTCCGAGCTCGGATTCGAGACGCTTGAAAGCCGGAACCGTTGGGCTGCAGGCGGTCACGGCCCGTCAACTGCGAAACGCATGCCGCGCGCGCGTCATCCGGGCACGACATCCGAATCGGCCAGCCGTGCGCGTTTTTGCGCCGAAACGGCGGCGCTCGCGTACGCAAAGCGTGACATTCCGTCGAGGTGCACTCGCGAACGTGAGCCACGGCGCGCGTAAGCGAGCGCGGCGGATAGGAGCAAGGAGGAGGGCGGATAGGCGCTTATGCAGAATTGAAAGAGAAGAAAAGAGCAGCCGATTATCTTGCACATACTCGAGGCAGTCGAGCAGCGGTAGGAGCTAGCGGCGGCAGCGGCGTCGGTGTCTTGAACTGAAAGCGCACCGAGCGAAGGAGAACCGCCAACAGCCCCGTGAGGCAGAAACGCGAGAGAGAGAGAGAGAGAGAGAGAGAGAGAGAGGAGCTTAGGGTTTACGGCGTCTTGCTTCTTGGTTCCAGTGTGTGTGTGTGTGTGTAGTTGCCTTGTAAGGCGTGAGCAGATCGAGGCAAGAGTTCTCGTCCGCTCCGACTGACGCTCGCGAGCCAGGCGGAGAGAGAGAGAGAGAGAGACTCGTCGTTTCATGCACATGCAGCGAGAGAGCGAGCCGTGCCAAGGCGGACAGCTCCGCTGCGAGTTGGACGCAAGACAATGAGCCGCGCGCCAGCGCTGGATCCGCGTGCACGAGGTGTAAGTACGTCTATGCCAGTGGAAAACAAAGAGTCGCTGGAATGCAGGCTTGATAACGAAAAAAAGAGGAGAAGCGCCGGGGAAAAGAATCTGCATGTTCGATGCCGCTTTTTTCACCTTCCTGCGCTCTTTTTGGTCGTGCGCGCTCCAGCGCGACGGCTGCTCATCTGCCAGAGCTAGTCTCTGAGAACGAACGGCCATGTTCTGCATTAATGATGCTATCTCGAAGTATGCGCCTTCGTTTTTTTTTCTTCCCTTCGTCTTCGTTTTGCTCGTTCTTTCGTTAGCTCCGCTGATTACGATTGCGCCGGCGCTGCCACTTCGTGGAAAATCGTCGTTTTAATTGATAATGACGCTCTTGCGCCTAGGTCCGGCCGATGCTCTCGTTAACGAGCCGCTGCGCTCGCACTCGGCGGCCAGCGTTCGCTACGAGTGCAGCACTGCGAGCGCCTTTAATTTGCATAAGTTATTGCATAATGGCCCGATCCGATGAAACTAATGGCGATCTCCAATGGCACTGTGCAATTTTAGCGTTTCTCACGCATTCCCGCGCCGCTCGCGGGAATTCCCCTAACGGAACTGAATTACTTCATCGCATACTCTATCGACTGATCGCTGGCCCTCAACTTGGCTTTTAAATTGGAGAATTATGTCTGGGATAAACAATCTGCTCTTGAATTTCAGCTCACTTTTGCGCTCGTTCGCGCTCTGTGTTTGTTCAATGTTGTTCGAAACGCTCCATTCGGCTCGGAGTCAACGTTCGTTGTTTATTTTATTTAGAAACAATAAATTGCCGATAAATAAATAAGTTTCTTAGGAAACGAAGCCACTTTGCCGTCATATTGTATATTGGCTAGCCTTTACAGATGGAAACATTATATTTTCTGACGCGGAATCTCGGCTTGATAACGAATAATTGCCTCGATTATTGTCGCTTTCAATCCGATTGCTGCAACGGCCGTTCGCGATTTGAGCTTTCGATTCGTCGAGCGAACGGAAAATTCGTAGACCGTTACACAGCTCAACCAGAATAGTACGTAAAAATAGCTCGAGAGCAGCGAATAATTTTAATAGGAGCCATTTCAGGAAATTCGTCGCGGACGACAAAGGCCAAAGGTATCCGAAGCACGCAGCATA